TGTGGCTTTGATATGACTATGACTTGAAAGAAAGTGGAGCTGAATTCATATACATGAACAGACACTCTTACATAGGGTTTCATAATCAGCCGTGAAATGACATTTGTGTACAGTGTAACTGTCTTATTCACAATGACCAAGATTGTTTTGCAAAACATCACCTCACCCAAATCTGTCAGTTTGAAGATAGTCCAAATTTGACTACATACAACTTCTAACTTTTCCTAAGAGTAAATCTCAGTAGCAAGTATTTTGGACGCAATTTTAAAATATATGACAACGCAGATGATGGTAATCAACACTTACATGAGGACTTTTGGTCCTCATCTTTGTTGTTGCTATCATAACATTTTGGCCGTTGTACTCTCCAGACTTCTTCAGGTGTATGTTGATTCAGATAATTCCAGCTCAGAATGCGGCTGATAGTAGAAAAGAAAAATAATACCATGTCCTTTTAGAATAGAGGCAATCATGTTTCTTTACAGATTATTTGTGAATTGGCATGCCTTTTTAGGAAAGATATCGGATTCGGTTCCCAATGCCTTTTTCATGGGTTTGATTCCAAAAGTGTCCATTAAACACTCCACAGATTCTGTTTATTGTCTGGGAATTTACTTCTTGGGTAAAGCTACTGGAATGGTTTCCTATTGTCGGTTTTGAATTCAAAGTAGTCCTTCTAGATTGGCCACTATCCAATGCTAGAGAGCTCAATCTACCTTCGTATTTAATTGACAGATAGAGGTGCAGGAGAGATGGATGTAAGCCTTTTCCTAAGATATTATGGCGAAAGTGAATGCAACACACTTAGTTGAAATTTGAATTTGGCTTGCCAGTTTCATTTTTAATGCTGGTAACCATTATCTTATCTGCATATCCAACCAGGATGATGTAATCAATTGAATAATCATTTTTTCCCTTTCTTTGAGAAAGCGGTTTCATGCCTTCATTATTCTGAACTTTTATGTGTCATCTTATATTTATGAGAGAGAGAGAGAGAGAGAGAGAGAGAGAGAAGATGAATAAAAACCAATATGCAATTTGCAAAATTACAAATACATTGTTAATTGGAATTCAAAGCTAAGATAGACATACATACATATATATACAGGGTGCGATGGATAAATTGTCGCCTAAATTATGCAAAAAAAAAAAAAAAAAAAAAAATTAACTCTGACATCTCATTTTAACAGATAATTTTACCAAAACTATGCAAAAATATTTTGAAATACTAAAGAGTAAATTTATTCAATAAAATCGCCATTGGCTTCAACCAGGGTCTTCAGATCACTTTGGAATCTTCTGCAACTCTTCAGGATGGTCTCCTTGTTTAAGTTGATGAATGCTGCCATAATCCTTGCCTTCAGTTCATCTTTGGTATTACAAGGAGTTGTATTGATCTCTCACTCAATTGCAGTCTACATATAATAATCAAGCGGGTGGCAGGCTGGGGAGTTAGATAGCTAAATGTAAGGGGCAATGTGATCACAGAAATTGTCTGACAGCCATAACTGGGTTCTCCTGCTTGTGTAGCATGGTCCAGAATCCTATTTCCAGACATAGGGTCTTCCAGCAGCCACCCTCTTGACCCAGGGCTGCACTATCTCCTCAAGGCACTTGATATAGGCCTCTCTGTTGAGCCTGAGGACCTGTAGAAAGATGAATGGAGGTATAATGTCACCAGTAATGTAGTGATCCCTCCAAATACCTCTGTAATCACTATTAGATTCATCAACTCTTTCTGAATCCTCTGCACTCTCCTCAGATTGATACCCAAATACATTGAAATATTTATACTGGAACTTCCAGTGTGAATGCCAAGCAGTAGAGCATGCCGTTTTCAAATTTCCAGCAGAGTGAATTGTGTCATGGTGCTCTTTTTCTCACTGACAGTACCCAATTGACCTTACTATTCTCTGTAGTTGACAAAATCAAAATACAAACAATATAAAATGGTGACAATTTACCCATCGCACCCTGTACATATGTATATATATATATATATATATATATATGCCAAAAACATATTGTAGTAAGAATGCAGGTGTAACTTAACTGAAGCTTTATTCAATTTGGAATGAAGAGTTCTTCTCTCTCTCTTGTAACAGCATTCACCTGAGGTGGGTTGAGCTGGTTCCAATATTGGAGTTTCATAGGAATTTGGAATTCACAAGTGGTCCCCAACCCGCATGTATAGCACATGAGATTTGATTATAGTGGTGAAGGTTTTGTGCAGGACCATCCACACATTTTGAAGGGCTGATTACAGAGACCTGGTGCACTACATGCCACAAGGTCCCCAAATGACCCTCCACAAGTTTTTAATTCAGAGTTTTCCTTCTCTTAGACCAGTTGCCATCCAAGGCTATAGAACCCAGTCCATCCTTCTATTTACCCATAGCTGGAGGGAGAAGAAGAGAATTCACACCTTTCCCTAGGGTATTAGCACGTAAGTGAATGTAATGGAATGGAATTCGAACTCGGCTCTCTGATTCCTCAATCCAAGCCGTTATCCATTACTCCACTGTGCATCCTCAATGAAAAGTGTCCTACTGGACTTACTTAAATACAAAATATGTATAAGAGGAGATAATCCATACCACACACACACACACACACAATTGTAAACAGACAGAATGTATAGCTGAAATAGCCCAGGATGCAAGCAGTAAATTGGTAATCAAGCAAAAACAAAAATTTAAATATCTGTAAAGTATCTTAAAAGGAGATAGAAAATGAGACACTTAATTCGGAAAATAGTGAAACATGCCTTCTGAAAGCTAAACAAAGTATTAAGAAACTGGAAAATTTTATTAGAGTGTTGAACTGTCATTAAATATTTGTCATCCTATACCAGCCATGGGTAACATTTTTTGAGCTGTGGAGTGCATGATCTATGAATCATCACAAGGAGTGGTGGGGCACTACTAAAAAGATTCAAGATAATTTTTGTAGTAGGTATCTCAAGTATTTTCACTACAGAAAATCATATTCATAAGCATATACCTTAGAAATTGGAATTTTTTTTTCTTTGAAGAAAAGATTTTTTTATAATTAAAAATTGAAATTTTTCAAACAATTGATGAGGGGATTAACACATATCACTGCATCTGATTTATTTCTAATTTATTTGTTTGAATATAAAAAAGTATATTTCTTCTACAGAGAAAATAGTTTTTATGAATGTTTCATGTTTCAAAGTTAAAATATTTTTACACGTATGATCTTCCTTAGTGAAAATCACCAACAGTCTCACCATAATGAGTCTGATCATAATTTTGATTTAAAAATTACTGCTTTAATTAAAAGAGAAAACAATTTAATTTTTAAAATACTTCTTGGTTGGTGAGAAATTATTTTTAGCACTTGATGTTTTTTCTTTCCAGGTTAAACCCATTAGAATTAATGATGGCAGTCAAACTAAGCTTTAAACAAAATGCTACTGGAAGTGTGTAAATGCTGTTGAAGTACAAAAAACAGTTTAGGAGGGAGTTTCCAACAGATTCACAAATGCGACTTACCATCGCTTGAATCAGAGATAAAGTTGAAACCAATGGAACTGTTCAGAATGTCCATGAGAAGTGTTCCAGAAGAACAAGCCCCACAATACAAGAAAGAGTACTGGAAATATCTTACAAAAAGTCCAAGAAAATCTGTACAGCAAGTGAATCATTAGGAAGGTATTTCAAAATCATCTATCCAATACATTTTGAAGTACTGTCAGTGTAAAAGTTACATTCCAAGATTAGTCTATGCTATTAATGACAACGATCCAGACTGAAGGGTAGAATATTGTGAGTGGTATTTGGCACGATGTGTAGAAGATGCACATTTTCCAAAAAAGATTGTGTAAAGTGATGCGGCCACATGCAAATTAAATGGTTTAATTAACCACCACAATTGCACCTACTGGGGACTTGAGAATCTGCATATTATGGAGGAACATCATATTAATTTACCAGTAGTTACAGTGTGGTGCGGTTTATCATCAAGAGGATTAATTGGACCATTCTTTTTGACGCTACTGTGACTGGTTCCGTTTACTTGAATTTGCTGCAACAGTCTGTCATGCCAAACATTAGAGTGGACTTTGAAGATGAGGAGTTTTATTTTCAACAAGATGGGTGCACCCCCACACTACCATCATGATGTTAGATCCTACTTTGATGAGATCTTGCCAAACACATGGAAGGAGTTTCATAGAATACCCTCTGTGTTCACTAGACCTCACGCCACTAGACTTTTTTTTATGGGGATACTTAAAATACAAAGTTTATGCTATGAAACCTGTAACAGTTGCTGAATTGAGAGCAGCCATTGAATGAGAATACACAAAAATACCAAATGAAATGTTTGTGATTTGATTGCTTCATGTTGTCAACAGTGCCTGGACCAGAATGAAAATCAGTTTGAAAACAGGCATTGACAAAAGCATAAAATAATGTCTGTAAATTCTATCAAATTTTGAAAATGAAATGCATTTTAATAAACACTAACTTTAAATTATTTAAAGTGTGTACACATGTTTTGAACACCCTGTATATACATAGAAGATGGATGCCATTTCATTGTTGAGCATGAGCATTACAAGATATCATTGTAAGACTCAGTTGTACTTTGAATGGATGTGGGTCTTTAAATCAGAAAATTTTTTAAAACTTGTGGCATAAAGTTGGCAGACATGAGAAACATACATTTTTTTTTGTCATTAGGCCTACTTTTGTGAATGCATGTCTTTTCAACCTACCAATTGACTTGCCATCTTTTCAAAATGTGACATGAATTCCTAGTAGTTAATAACATTTTGTAGTATGCACAGAGTTTTCTGAGATATTTTCTACATATATCCAACCAATATTACATCACATTCCTGAACACTTGTGCATACCTGCAATTTCATATTTAAACTGAGGTGGATACAGAGATATAAGGAAAATGAGATTGATAGACAGGTAGATAGATATGGACAAACTGAGATAGAAAGATAAATAGATAGGAGCAGATTAAGATAGATAGATAGATAGATAGATAGATAGATAGATAGATAGATAGATAGATAGATAGGAACAGACTGAGATAGATAGATAGATAGATAGATAGATAGATAGATAGGAACAGACTGAGATAGATAGATAGATAGATAGATAGATAGCTGTCACCTCCTTGTTAAGTATGACTATCATAAGATATTGTAAGACTTACTTGTACTTTGAATGGATGTGGCTCTTTAAACCAGACAAACTGAGATAGATAAATATAAATGAAATGACATTGATAGATAGATAGATATGTACAAATTGAGATAGATAGAAAGATAGATATAAACAAAATGATAGAGATAGATAGATAGATAGAAAAGGAAAAACTGAGAAAGAGATAGATATGGACAAACTGAGAAAGAGATAGAAACAAAATGAGATAAATGAATAGATAGATAGATAAACAAAATGTCATATATATATATATATATATATATATATATATATATATATATAAAATGAGATAGATAATGAACAGACTGAGATAGATAGATAGATAGATAGATAGATAGATAGATAGATAGATAGATAGATAATGAACTGACTGAGATAGATAGATAGGAACAGACTGAGATAGATTGATAGATATAAACAGACTGAGATATATAATGAACAGACTGAAATAGATAGATAAATAGATAAGATATCATTGTAAGACCTAATTGTACTTTGAGCAGATGTGGCTCTTTAAAGCAGACAAACTTTAAAAATATATGATACAAAGCTGGCAGGTATTAAAACATACATTTTTTGTCATTAGACTTATTTTTGTGACTGTTCACATGTCTTTTCAGTCCACCAGTTGACTTGCCAAGTTTTCCACAAAAGAGACACAAATTCTGAGTACTTAATGCCATTTTGTAGTTGGTTAGTGCTCTATCATACATACAAATGTATTATGTACAATTTTTACCCATAGCTTCTTGATGATGAACGAAATACAATACCTATTATTTTGGGAATGTTGATAACAATTCATTTTAAAACAAGAAAGTAAGCAGATATACTTTCTTTTAATAGAAAATTGTGTGCCTTATGGATGATGAATATTTGCTGATTGTTATTAATGTTGGTTAGCAGCAGATTTTTTTGTCATGGCATTTTTTTCTTATTTGCAATAGATAATGGCATATTCTATATTTTGTCAGGGTATTTCCATTATAACCCAATATCTTGGAGCATTCTACTTATCCAACCAGCCTGAATGACTCACAAGATGGAGGATCTGGTAGGTACTTGTATCTCATCTACAGAATGGAAATTTACTGGGATCTGGAAAAGAATCATGAGTGACCATGCCTCGGGGGATTTGTATGAATACAACTTCTCTGATAGTATAGGTGTAAATTTTTATTCTTTCTCTCTTGGGGAGGAGAAGGTTTGAATGCCAAAAATAATATTTTATTTCATATAATATAATAAATAATTATTTGCTAATGTAATGAATTTAATGCTCACTATGTACTACACTACTGTAGTCCTGTGCCATACTAAGCTCATTAAATAATTGTTATAGATTTCTACTGTAGGTCAATACAACTTGAAAACTAGTTTGTTGATGCAGTGAGTTTGATCCACACACACACACACACACACACACACACATATATATATATATATATATATATATATATATATATATATATATGTATGTATGTATGTATGTATGGGCACATAGCCGAGTGTTTAGAGTGTTATCATTCTGACCATAAGACCCAGGTTTGAATCTCACCATGGTCGATTTGTCAGGAAGGAGATTTCCTGATGTTATCAGACTGGAGGAGTTGATCCCAGCATGCGGCAGCTTTGGAAAGTGCCTGAAAAACCATACCACGTGTTGACCCAAGTCTTGTGAGTGAAATTAGGTAGACAGAAGCCTTGGGGGCTGTCGATAGCTGTGCTAGCACAAAGTCACAAGTCATTGTGGATGAGGGCTTGAGTGTGCTGGCCTGGTTCAAATTGTTGATCATGCTAGATAACACACTCTTTCCCAGAAACTGTAACTAAGGTCTGCTCAGCATAGTTGCAAGTATAAACCACAGGTGGGATCTGTGGGTGTTGAACAAACACAAAATGTGCCTGAGCAAGTGTCTGCAATAGAGATGCTAGCCCCCCTTGTCGACAGATATCCTCGAATACGAGTGGATATGATGACAATATATATATATATATATATATATATATATATATATATATATATATATATATATATATATATATATAAAAAGACTTAATGGATTTTATTTTTTAATCCAACATATTTTTTACTATTACTTAAACAGTATTTTTACCGGATACCCATATTTTGAATAGAATGTCACGTTTTTTAAACAGTGTCTACTGGTCTGAGTACTCAAGAAAACTTAATAAAAGAAAATGTACCCACTGCAGGATTTGAACCTAGATCTCTTGGTGGTTCAGACTAACTCAAATTTTATGGTCTTTTATTCATGATTGGTCACCCTGAATGAGACCATGACCAATTTCAGTTTGATCAATTGAATATTATCCAATCCATCTCTTCCCTCCAGCTATGGATAAATAGACAGTGGTCCCTCCTGCTACTCAAAATATATATAATTATATATATATTTTCACTAAAAATAATGATTGAAGTAATAATAATATATATATATATATATATATATATATATATATATATATATATATATATATATATATTATGTACATTCTTTGCAGAGATGTAACTTTTTGATTGGCTACTACATTCAGTTTCATGCATATATCAGTGTGTAATCTTTAAGCATACATCACTGTTTTTCTGTGATGCAGGTTTCACATATCCCCCAGGGTAAACCCAAAATATAAAATCTTGGATAGTCAACATACTAGTCAAACTCACAGTGGTGACTGCAGAAATGCCAAATAGCTGGCAGTCTTGAACATTACACCATTATAAAAATAAATGCATTAAAAACAAACCATTAAAAAAAACGCAGCTGAAACAGCCAAAAGAAACATTTCCCTATGTCCATAACTGTTAACCTAGATAAATCTAAGCAGAAGCCATTATATTTTATAAATAAATTACCCACAAAATGGGAGACAATAGACATTGAAGAGATAAAAGAAAATGGTTAATATTTCATAAGAGAAAAAATATATTCTCAAAAAATGTTTCTGTCATTTGAGCATTTCTTTTATCTTTAATTTTCCATCTATTTTCCACCCCATACTGTGTGATTTTATATATATATATATATATATATATATATATATATACTCAACTCTCCGTTGAATTCGAAGTATGAGGGTCAAGCAGATCAGTTACTAGGAACCAAGAGCCTGACACCAGCACATGAGATTTGATTATAGTGGTGAAGATTTTGTGCAGAACCATACACACTTTTTGAAGGGCTAAATAGAGACACCTGGTGCACTACATGCCACAAGGTCCCCAAACAACTCTCTGCAAGTTTTGAATTCAGAACTCCTAGACCAGTTGCCATCTAAGGATATAGAAACCAGTCTGTCCTGCTTTTTACCGATAGCTGGAGAGAGAAGAAGAGGATTCATACTTTTCCCAGGAGTATTAGCATGTAAGTGAATGTAATGAATTTGAACTTGGCTCTCCGATTCACAATCTGAGGTGCTATCCACTACTCCACCATGCCTCATATATATATATATATATATATATATATATATATATATATAAAACAGTTTTACTCATGTGAAAAACCATGGATGACTCAACTTGTAGATACCTGAGGGCAAAGTGGTACCCAAGGAAAAAATTGGAAGTAACAAAAGAAAGAACCAAAAACTGAACAAGGCGAAAAAATTGTCAAGTGTCTTAAGTCCTTAGTCTAAAGAAAAAACCCTAAGCAAGTATAAAGACAACAAAAATGTAATGGGCTTAATATGCTAAGTAGAGCAGTAAATTAGAATAAATCCTAACGAGCCAGGCAGACCTACCTAGGTTTCACCTAAATGGATCTTCCGGGTAGATTGGCTAAAAAGAAAATAGCGGAACAGTGTTAATCGATAAAACCATTAACCACATGACAAAAAAAAAATGAGAGAGAACAAAACCCAAAGCATTATTCTAATAACCAGGCTCTCCTATGTCTACAATTATTAAGTATCTTTTATTTAATAAATTCTTAGGTTTCTTATAAGTGATTATTGCTAATTTTTCTTCCATACATAACCAACAAAACTTGTCACCTGCCTTATATGTATGGCATTTTTTTAACATTTCATATTTCAAAATGGGGTCACTATTATCTTCTTGCTTTATATCCCATATGTAAATGGACAAGCTGGTACTATGTCTATAGGTTTCATGATTAAAACTACTTAGATGATTATAATAACATTTTTTGATCTTGGGTAGGTCCTATGTAAATTTGGGGCTTCCTGTCAGTGTTATTTGGTTTATTTCTATGTATCTCGACTTTGTACACCACATCCTTCTTTTGGCCCCAAAAAATGTAGGTCCACCACTGCTTTCACATGATTGTATAATGTTCAGTTGCAGCAAGTGAAATTGGTCATGATCTCATTTAAAGTGACCAATCATGAACAAAATACCAGAAAATTTTGAAGAAATTTATGAACTCATCCAGGCATTTAATAGACTCTCTTACATGACTGAAAGAAGTAATAGAGTCTACCAGGGGATACTAGTCCAGCAAATTTTGAAGACATTTATAAACTCATCCAGGCATTTAATAGACTCTCTTACATGACTGAAAGAAGTAATAGAGTCTACCAGGGGATACTAGTCCAGCAAATTTTGAAGACATTTATAAACTCATCCAGGCATTTAATAGACTCTCTTACATGACTGAAAGAAGTAATAGAGTCTACCAGGGGATACTAGTCCAGCAAATTTTGAAGACATTTATAAACTCATCCAGGCATTTAATAGACTCTCTTACATGACTGAAAGTAATAGAGTCTACCAGGGGATACTAGTCCAGCGAATTTTGAAGACATTTATAAACTCATCAGGCATTTAATAGACTCTCTTACATGACTGAAAGAAGTAATAGAGTCTACCAGGGGATACTAGTCCAGCGAATTTTGAAGACATTTATAAACTCATCCAGGCATTTAATAGACTCTCTTACATGACTGAAAGAAGTAATAGAGTCTACCAGGGGATACTAGTCCAGCAAATTTTGAAGACATTTATAAACTCATCCAGGCATTTAATAGACTCTCTTACATGACTGAAAGAAGTAATAGAGTCTACCAGGGGATACTAGTCCAGCAAATTTTATGATACCACCTCATAGAATCAATTTTAATTATATTTTTATCAAATAGTCTGTAACAGTCTCTACATTTCACTGTTAAATGTAGCCGTCTCTTCTACTCCAATAGCTTCATGTCTTGCACCTCTCACCTATGAAACTCACTCCCTCTTCCTGTTTCCCTGATAGCTATAATCTCCAACTATTCAAATGTAACGTCAATCAATGTCTCCAGATGCCTTGATCTATCCCCTATCCTTCTCTTCATCCTTCCTCTATTACTCCTATTTGGTCTCACTCCAACTCTCTGTAACCCCTTGCATGCTAGTGGCTTCACGCCTTGTTTGGGGTGAAATGCTTAAAAAAAAAAA